AATTTAAAAGCACACATCGTTTCGGTAGTATCTGTAAAATTCTATTACCTTGGTGGTGCCACGGAAATAGTGGCAAATTGTGTGCGGCTTCATTTTGTCGCTACTGCCGCTGTGTGTGTGGACCTTTATATTATTTCATAAAATAACAAACCTATAGGTAATATTATCATTAAGTAAACCTGATAATTTTACTTTTAAATTTTGTCTTTTTTCGTTCGTAATACATACAGTTTTCATTTAGGTATTACTTTGTGGTTCAAATATCATTAGACGGCGTTCCGATTGACTCAGCTGTATCCGTTGTTGTGGTTTCATTTGAATCTGGTCCACATATAATGTTTTATTGGCCAGATGGAAATTTCAACCCAAGTATACCTACAATCCCCGGAAGTAGTATCATGATAGCCGCCACTGTCTCTTTTTTGACTACCAGTTGTTTAACTACTTGGACCACGTCGTCAGATTCTGGATACAGCTATTTAACGTCAAAACATTTGGTAAATACTAAATCTATGACAACAAAATACAGTTTTAATTTTTATTTTATATAGGTAAACTGCAATTGGTTTTAAATAATTTATTGCACATAATATTTTATTTAATATACACTAATTAGGTATATTTTATCAATCGATTAACAATTCATAATTAATAATTTGAGCGTAAATTACATAATATATAGGGTGGAAAAATTAAAGTCATTAGAGAATTTATGCCAGGTCGAAATGAAACATTTTCGCGTGATATTCGCATTGCGATAACATTGCCAAACAAAATTAACCAAAATACARATTTCTTACTGAAACTTAATGTCCATTGTGCTTCTTTGAAACATTCAATGTTTGGGGTTGTACCAGTTTCAATAGTTGCTCCRCCACGAACATTCAAATTAGAAGTATGTGTTTTGATCAGCTCTATAATTGTAGTTGTAATATTTAATTAGATATTAGTTATTATATTACATATTAAGTAAAGTTATGACCTACATAAATTCGTATTATTAATTATTAGGTAACACCAAAAGGAGGAATTGGTATTTTAACTAAGTTTAAATTTTACACCGATTCGGCATATGATAGAAAATCTAGTCACCCAATCCGATATAGTTTTGGATTTTATCTACCAACATTTTCAACCGTTCCAATATATTTTTACACATCAACTTTCAGGTTACAAACAGAAACAGTTCTCCCTTCAAGTTCGTAAAATTATTTTATGTGCAGACTATAGATGGTAAATAGTGACGTATTTACGATGGGTAAGGTATTCCTGTACGCTGGTGATATACCACTAATCACCCTCTGAGTTTTACAGATTCTGCAGAGCGTAGCGAAGAGCAGTTAAAAATCCGTATAATTTAAAATTTTAATACCTATAATACTCGAAAATACATTATAATTTAAATTAAATAATACTTTTTTTTTCTTATATGAAACATGTTCTAAGCTCCAGTCGTTGTTCAGTAAACAATAAACTCTAGTCTCTATCTGTAAATAAAATATACAAATTACAAACCAACGTCCTGTGTTAAGTAAAATCTTGAGCCATATTAGTAAATCTCATACTAAGTTAAGTATAAGATAAAAAATAAGAGAGAACAATGTTCCCTTGACAACTTGACGCCCCGAAGGAAATTGTAAATACGCCACTGCAGGGTTGTAAGCAGATAACATATGTGTGTGTTTTGTAACGCTTGCAAGTTAGATAATATGAATTTTATTTATTAATATAGTCAGTTTGGATACAATATCAAAGATWAAAACTATTTTAAAAGTATGCAATGTTTACGAAAGTTGTAGTACGATTGAAGGTCCAGAAATATCTGTCCATCATCCAACACAGATTTCAGATGAAGAAATAACGTAAGATTATATTATTTTTATATTTATATAATATTCTGTACAAGTTATTCTGTTTAATCAAACCCTGGATTCGTGTAGGCTGTAGTATTATGCARAAGGATGCTCCTTTCAGCATTCTATAGCACGATTGCAGTGACGTACGCAGAAAAAGTTTTGGGGTGTATTTTTGAAAATCAGCTATTGATAAATAGAATTGTTTTTAATAAACATACGATTTTTCTAAGAAAATTAACTAAAATACGTGTTTTAAATATTATTATATTAACATTGATAGAACAAAAAAAACTTCAATATRAAAAAAATCTAACATTCGTAAATTTTTAGCCACTATGTTAMGAATATGTTTACAATTAATCTCTATATTATATTAATTATTTTAATTTGTTAGTATTACATTTTAATTTTTCTTTAGCTGGTTACACCCCCCGTGTACGTGCCTGCKCGTTTGTATGTCTATATTGTTATTTCTTTTACAACAAATACAAAATATATAGATTATAAAATGTATTATTGTTACTCGTATGTATTTAAAAAAAAACGAATTGCTTTTGATTTGAAACGATGTAACTATATTTACTGAAACTGAATAATAATTTATAGTTTTTTAATTTTTTTACTCATTGTGCACTCTATTACAGATTGTAAATATTCATTTAAATAAACTATTTTACAAAAAAATATTTGAATATTTGTTTGTAGATTCTTTATACAAAAATACAGCCGTATGTTAAAAAAACAAATGTTAACTGAATCGGAAGCATATTTATTCACTTACATGACAACAATAAAAACTTTCAAAACTGAAGTCTATGAAAAAACTTCAAATGAACTATTTAACTTTATTTCAACACATATTAACAACGACATTGTAGAAAGGTATACCATTGTTTTTATTTTTTATTTTTTTATATAGATTAATTGTTTAATTTATTGAAAACTTTAATATTATTAATTATTATTATTATAAAATTATATAGCGTATCCTACRGAATAGAATACATTCCATTTGGTCTGGCGCTTTTGGATTCAATTTCTCGTACTTTTTTTGTACTTCCAAAGTTTAATAATATACATGTTTCACAATCGTTAGTATTATTACGAGATCGGATATACGCAAGATTAATAGGTACAACAATTTGGTTATAATTAAACTAATAGAGAGTTTATATAGAAATGTATTGATATATTTTCACAGCCTACGATGATGCACTAACGTCAAATGCCGTAAACAACATGAGATTCATCTTAAAAAATGTAAATTCTAATATGCATAATATTTACTCGCAAACAAAGATAAACACTGAAGTGGTATATTTATTTATATGTATAGCAGAAAATTAAAATAAATTAACTAAATTCTATGATACAAAACTAAATTCTGTATTATATTGTGTCAATTTTTAGATTAAATCATTTTTACAAGTCTCAGAAATTGTTATTTTAAACAAGGAAGATGGACCTGATGGTTTAAATGAAAAGAAAAAATTGCTTGAAAGTGTTGAAAATTACGCTAAACATGTTTGTTTGACATTGAATGAAGAACAAGAAATATATGTGGGTATGTTAATGGAAAAATAAATGTGCCTAAGAATACCCATGTTATTAAAATTTTAAATATTTTAAATTCATCAAATAGGATCATTAGTTGGAAGTTTTAGCGTAGGACAAGTAAAAAGTGTCAGTTCGATAGAACCATATATGGAGATACCTACCTGTAATTCGGATTTCCACAAAAAATGCATCAAGCAAAGATCTAAAGTATAATTGTTTTTATTTACGTCATTATTTTACTGTTTTATTTAACACCCTTAGAATTTAAGCAAAATGTGCATTCATGTAAAATATTTTACACCAGTTAGAAAATAATTATTTTTGAAGCTGGAAATTTGATAAGCTTAAAAATTATTTTCTCTATAAAAACTGCATTAATGCAGTTACAACAAATTCAAAATTTGAAAATAATACAATTTTATAGAATGTACTAAAAATGTAAAAATTATAGAACCTATTATGAAAAAAATATTAGACATCCAACACTTTTAAAATGCATTGTAGTATTGTGCATAGACATGTATTATTTTAATTGTGTTGTCCATGTTGATGATTGATTTGGTTTATTTGTGTTTACAAGAAAAT